CGAGATCGAGAAGGGAAGGCTCGAGCTGTCATACTGCCCCACGTCCGAAATGGCAGCTGACTACCTGACCAAGAAGCTCGGAAAGCAGAAATTCGAATATTGCATGCTGCTGACTGGATAGAGCCACGTCAGCGACACTCCAGAAGCGAAGGGGAGTGTTGGAAACAATCGGTCCTAAGCGCCTCTGTCGTGTCGAAACACTAAGGCACAAGAGAAGCGAAGCATACCGAAGCACCGGCGAGTCAACCCTCGGAGGTTGAAGCAACCGCTGGAGGTTACTCGAAAGTCAAAGGTCAGCGACCTTTGACCTGACAAGTACAGCGCGACAGCAAGGACACACAACTGACTCGCTACAGAGCAGTTGCCCGAGTCGTCACTGTATCGAACCGCAACAGCAACAGTAAAAGTAGTTACAACCGTATCTCTTCACATTCCTTGTACTCTTATATATTCTTGTATCTCTTTGCTTCAATCAACTTACTTTGCCCTCACATACTAGCGCAAGGTGGTTCAGAATCTCTTTGTTAACGCTTCCGCTACTACATCATTCTACCCAGAGATTAACCCTACCAAAGATCCTAAGGGGCACTCAGCCCAACAACGGTACCGTAATGGACTGTGGTTGTCGCGCGACGGGCCTGGGACTGAGGTTGGGAAAAAGTGTCGAAGCGGAGGCCCGGAGCGCGGGTTACCCGCCGAGCCGTGAGGTCAAGGTGCGATGTGCGAAGGTGGCGGGCGGATTGTCGATGCGAGGGTTGCGAGTGGTAACGGTGCTGACTGTGGTGCTACATTGATGTACGCGTTGAGCAGGGATGAGAAGTAAGGAAAAGGAATTTTCCTTACACTACCCCCCCCCCCCCCCCTAAGGAGGTCCTCCTTACGAAAGTGCGTGTACATCCCTGAAATTTTGGATGCGCAGATACTCGGTGAGGACGGGGTGGTTTCGATTCTGTCCAGGGGAACCCAATTGTCTTCGGTGGGTGTACGATCCTTCCAGCGGAGTAAGAACTCGATCCTTCGGGCTCCTCGAGGGTCGCGAACTCTGTGACTCAGGATTTTCTCGGGGGTGATGATTGGTTCAGTTGGTGGTCTTGTCATGCTGGCTGGGCGATTGCGTGGCAGTTGGCTCGTGGACGGGACGTAAGGGCGAAGTAGGCTGACGTGGAATGAGGGGCTGACGTACCAGTCAGCAGGGAGGAGGAGGTGGGCGGTGACGGGTGTAAGCATGTGGCTTATGCGAAACGGCTCGCAGTATCGGGGGCGGAGTTTCGGGGTGGTGGGCAGTCGGAGGTTCTGAGTGTCAAGTAAAACTAAGTCGTCGGGCTGGTAAGTGACAGGTCTGCGGTGGCGGTCGGCGTTGCGTTTAGCGATGATCATGGTCATCTGAAAATTCGCCGGTGCGTTGGTCAGCCCGAATGGCATCACAGTGTACTCGAACGACCCGTACCTAGTCTTGAAAGCTGTTTTGGCGCATTCCAATGGTTTGACCCCTATCTGATTAACCTCCCCGTAAATCTATTTTCGAAAAAACCCGTGCTGTTCGCAGTTGGTCGATCAGTTCGTCGGCGCGGGGAATGGGGTACCGCGATTTGAGTGTTACCATGTTCAGTGCTCTGTAGTCGATACACATGCGAAAACCCCCGTCTTTTTTCGGCGTGAACAGTATCGGTGCGGCGAACGGTGACGAGCTCGGTCTGATGAATTTTTTCTCTAACAGGTAATCTAACTGCTTCCTTAGTTCGTCGAGCTCGGGCTGTGTCAGTCTGAACTGGCGCTGTACGGTTGGCTGTGCCCCCGGTTCTAATTCGATTCGGTGGTCATGTGCTCGCTGGGGTGGCAGTCCTTCCGGTAAGTCGTCGGGGAAAATCCCGGGGTATCGTTTCAACAATTCTCGTAATTCGGGCGGTACGGCTGCCAGCAGTTTCTTGAAATCACTCGCCTGCTCTGCTTCCTCTACTACTGCGATGTCTACTGCGTACACGTCAGCTTTAGCAACGACAGCCCGTTTCATTGTGATGGCGTTGACGTGTACCGTTGAAGACTCGGGCGACTGCCAGCGAGGTAGCTCGACCCAGTTACCACTACTTCGCACGGTGCAACTACCCGTCGTCCAGTCAATTCGCGGGTTATACCGTCGCAGCCAATCACGTCCCAGTAAAATATCGTGCCCATCCAGTGTTGTTGCGAGCATTTCCTGTGTTAACCCGAAATTTCCCCCGCAGCGGACTTTGACTCTTTCTACCTTTTCCCGTATGGCTAGTGGCGTGCCGTCGACTAAGCGTGCGTCTATCTCCGGTAAGCAACGGCTAAGTGTCAGCTGCAATTTTCGTGCGGTTGCGGTATTAACTAAACTGTGGCTTGCTCCTCCGTCAATAAAAATCTTCACTGCTATTCCCTGTATTTTCCCGTGGATCAGTACTGGGCAATCCGTCGCCGTACCCTCCTTATTCGTCCGAGTCCGATCGATAGCATGAATCGGTACTGTGACTCGGTGAGGGTCGGTGGGGTTGGGCGAGCAGGCAGTCTCGTCAGTAGTTGGCCCGATTCCTACTGACTGCTGGCGTTTCCCTGCTTTGGAGACTCCCTCCCCTGCTCTGCTCCGCGGCGCCTTAGCTCCTTTGGGCATTCCCTCTTGCGATGGCCCGGCCTGTTGCAAGCAAAGCAGCGCCCCTTAAACGGCGCGGCAGTTGCATTCGTCGCAACAGCGTGTACAGTGGCGTGCTCGATCGGTCCCCGAGGACGATGTCCATAGTAGGACCTCGGTCTCGGACGGCGTAAAATGTCGATTTTCTCGGCGAGCGCGAGAATCTCGTTGAAGTTCGAGAGCCCGCGTAGCATGATTTCGTGCGAGATGTCCGGCTTCAGCCCTCCGACGTAACGGTCCACCCGCTCCGCTTCGTGCATGTAGCCGACTTGCTCGCATAATGCGAGAAAACCACTCGTATAGTCTTGAACCGATCCAAGCTGCCGCCAAGTGCGCAATCTCTGACGCGCCGAAATAGAAGCCGCGATCGGCTCGAAGCGCGCCCGAAGCCCTGCGCACCACGCATCCCACGTGCTGTATTGGGCGGTCTCGCAGAATGAACTCCAGGTGACAGCTGGACCCATGGGTCCTTCCTCTTGCGACGGTGGCTCGTAGGCGCGTGGCGACGTCACGATGACTCGCCACCAGTCCATGGCGGGGCCCCTTAGCAGCGAAACGGCATACCGAATCTTCGCTGCGTCCGACTCGACGTAATTCACGTCGAAGAAGACGTTCATCGTGAAGACCCACGATTGAACCGTCGGACCTCCACGCTGGCTCGGGTCGAAGCAGGGCGGGCGTTGCGGCTTGAGTGGCATTGGTGCCATAATGGCCTGTTCGCCACTTGTCGCCGCGAACTCCACGTGCCGACGGGCTTCGCGAGGCTCCCGCGGGCTTGGTGCGACCCTGTTTCCTCCCATGCCAGGCATCGGCTGGGCGGCGCCATCGCTGGCTGCGCCTGAGCGCTGTCCCACGCTGTTGTTTTGTGTTGGTGTGCCGGACGAGATGATGATCGGCTCGTCTGATTGTGCAGATGCATTTGTCGGTGCGTGTGGTGGCGCTGGAGTGTTCATCGTTGATTGCTGACGCGCGGAGTCATGTTCCGCTGTGAGCGTCGCAATTTCGAGCGCCGAATCTTCAAGTTGGCGCACCAGACGGTCGAGCTGCTCCTGCGTCAATGTGGCGAGCGTGAATTCGGCCATGGCGGGGGTGTCGGGCGAGCTCAGCAAGAGCCTCGGTCGTGGCCGTGCATGCTTACGAGAGAGCACTACGAGCGGCGGTGCTGTGTCGCTGAGAGACGTCTAACCCCCCCAAAAATTGAGATAGTGGGGAAGCGAAGGTGTGGGTCCGGTCCGAGAGGAGATCGTAGGCTCTGAATACCAAGAGTTATGAGTGCAATTGAGTGAACGAACGAGAATTGCACTATCGAAGCAAGAGTACAATGAGCGAAGGCATGAGCGAAGAATATATAGCAAAACTACAGTGGTAACGGTTCTGGACCGTGGTTGTCGCGCGACGGGCTTGGGACTGAGGCTGGGAAAAAGTGTCGAAGCGGAGGCCCGGAGCGCGGGTTACCCGCCGAGCCGTGAGGTTGGGGTGCGATGTGCGAAGGTGGCGGGCGGATTGTCGATGCGAGGGTTGCGAGTGGTAACGGTGCTGACTGTGGTGCTACAGTGATGTACGCGTTGAGCAGGGATGCGAAGTAAGGAAAAGGAATTTTCCTTACACCTGTCAATCATTGCCTAATCATATGAATTCCCCCGCACGAAGTTAACTCCTCTGTCAATGCCTCCGTTCAGAATGAACCAACAGGCAAAGTACTGTACCGTATACCTTTCTTTGAGAATGGGCTGCAGCAGTGCGACACAGTGACCTTATTACAGTAGACTTTTCGCACAATCCTTTCACCCATGAATGTTGCTTGCTTCTATGTTAAATCACGTCGTATCATAACAAGGAAGCGAACCTTGTTGAATTGAACAGTCAGGGCTTCAAGCCAGTCTGCATTGATCAACAACTGTAAAGAAGTATGCTTCTACTGAAACCAATGCTGCAAAGCTCTGTGTTCTTCTATCGGTAGCGCTGCTTGAAGAGAGAATGCCTCTTTGCTGGATCCTTGGGCTTTGCTGCCCCTCTCCCTGCTCCCGCTCCTCCCCTTCCCCCACCCCTGCCAGTGCTGTTAGGTGAAAGGCAACAGGAAGAGAAGGATGATGTGGCGAGAGAACTCAAATAAGACAAAGGAAAGAAACTGCTTACTACACTTCATTTGGGAAACCTCAAAGACGCACCTCATGCATCCCATATTGAACAACACATTTGAGCTCAACTGCACCTAGTGTATTTCAAATTAGGTACATATACCGTAGTACACCTGTACTCTCGTAAGCTCCACGTCTCACACTGCACTCATGGAGCATCCAAGTGTTTTATCCCCCATACCCGGTACCTGCATGCACTCCCTGCACCAGCTGCAACCTCACCCCACCTGAACTCCAAGTATGACCGCCCCTGCACGCCTTACATGGTGCTCGTGAAAGAAGCGGTGTGCCTCACGATGGTGTAACATAGATCCACACGCCATGACAATAAATCCAATCCACATGTAATTGAAGTTCACCCACCTGAATTCCATGTACAACCGCCCCTGCGCGCCGGACATGGCGCTCATGGAAGCAGCAGAGCGCCTCACGATGATTGATGATAGATGCACGTGACATGTTGATTGACCAAGGGTCCACATGTGCTTGAGTGGTCACCCACCTGAACTCCATGTAAGACCGCCCCTGCGCGCCGGACATGGCGCTCATGGAAGCAGCGGAGCGCCTCACGATGGTGGGCACGTGGCTCAGGTCGTCATAGTCCTCCGCTAGTACCTCCTCCCTTAGTGCTTCGTCTCCTGCGCTCAACACCTGGTGACGGGGGGAGAGAGAGGGGAAGGGAACACAAACCCAGAAGGGCAAGGGCCGCTGGTCGGCACGTGGCTCAGATCGGCATAGTCCTCTGCCAGTACCTCCTCCCTCAGTGCCTCGTCGCCTGCACTCAGCACCTGAGGGGAGAGAGAGAGGGGCGGAATGTGAAAAAGGAGATGTGCAACAAGGCACGTGGCTCAGATCGGCTTAGTCCTCTGCCAGTACCTCCTCCCTCCGTGCCTCGTCGCCTGCACTCAGCACCTGAGGGGAGAGAGAGAGGGGCGGAATGTGAAAAAGGAGATGTGCAACAAGGCACGTGGCTCAGATCGGCTTAGTCCTCTGCCAGTACCTCCTCCCTCCGTGCCTCGTCGCCTGCACTCAGCACCTGAGGGGAGAGAGAGAGGGGCGGAATGTGAAAAAGGAGATGTGCAACAAGGCACGTGGCTCAGATCGGCTTAGTCCTCTGCCAGTACCTCCTCCCTCCGTGCCTCGTCGCCTGCACTCAGCACCTGAGGGGAGAGAGAGAGGGGCGGAATGTGAAAAAGGAGATGTGCAACAAGGCACGTGGCTCAGATCGGCTTAGTCCTCTGCCAGTACCTCCTCCCTCCGTGCCTCGTCTCCTGCGCTGAGCACTTAAAGGGATGGCACAAAGAGACGTGATAAACAGGAAAACGCCACTAGTCTCATGCCACATACTGAAGACAGGGAGAGGGCACTCACCGTGGAGAGCAGATCAAGCTGCTCCTGCTTGGACGTGTAGCAGAGGTCGTCCCCCTCCCCTGGTGGGGGCAGCGATGTTACCACCTTTGTGGTATGGGTAGAGGCAGGAGTGTTGGGATGGATGGTGGGATGGTGGGTGAGATGGAACATCACACGTGGCACATGGTGCATGGCGCATGGTGCATGGTGGATGGTGCATGGTGCATGGCGCATGGTGGATGGTGCATGGTGCATGGCGCATGGTGCATGGTGCATGGCGCATGGCGCATGGTGCATGGCGCACGGTGCATGGCGCATGGTGCATGGCGCATGGTGGATGGCGCATGGTGCATGGCGCATGGTGCATGGCGCATGGCGCATGGTGGATGGTGCATGGCGCATGGCGCATGGTGGATGGTGCATGGCGCATGGTGCATGGCGCATGGTGGATGGTGCATGGCGCATGGCGCATGGTGGATGGTGCATGGCGCATGGCGCATGGCGCATGGTGGATGGTGCATGGCGCATGGTGGATGGTGCATGGCGCATGGTGGATGGTGGATGGCGCATGGTGCATGGCGCATGGTGCATGGCGCATGGCGCATGGTGGATGGTGCATGGCGCATGGCGCATGGCGCATGGTGCATGGCGCATGGTGGATGGCGCATGGTGCATGGCGCATGGCGCATGGTGGATGGTGCATGGCGCATGGCGCATGGCGCATGGTGCATGGTGGATGGCGCATGGTGCATGGTGCATGGTGCATGGCGCATGGTGCATGGTGCATGGCGCATGGCGCATGGTGCATGGCGCATGGTGCATGGCGCATGGTGGATGGCGCATGGTGCATGGCGCATGGTGCATGGCGCATGGCGCATGGTGGATGGTGCATGGCGCATGGCGCATGGTGGAAGGTGCATGGCGCATGGTGCATGGCGCATGGTGGATGGTGGATGGTGCATGGCGCATGGCGCATGGTGGATGGTGCATGGCGCATGGCGCATGGTGGATGGTGCATGGCGCATGGTGGATGGTGCATGGCGCATGGTGGATGGTGCATGGCGCATGGTGGATGGCGCATGGTGCATGGCGCATGGTGCATGGCGCATGGCGCATGGTGGATGGTGCATGGCGCATGGCGCATGGCGCATGGTGCATGGCGCATGGTGGATGGCGCATGGTGCATGGCGCATGGCGCATGGTGGATGGTGCATGGCGCATGGCGCATGGCGCATGGTGCATGGCACATGGTGCATGGCGCATGGTGCATGGTGCATGGCGCATGGCGCATGGTGCATGGCGCATGGTGCATGGCGCATGGTAGATGGCGCATGGTGCATGGCGCATGGTGCATGGTGGATGGTGCATGGCGCATGGCGCATGGCGCATGGTGGATGGTGCATGGCGCATGGTGCATGGCGCATGGTGGATGGTGCATGGCGCATGGTGCATGGCGCATGGTGCATGGCGCATGGTGGATGGCGCATGGTGCATGGCGCATGGTGGATGGCACATGGCGCATGGTGGATGGTGCATGGCGCATGGCGCATGGCGCATGGTGCATGGCGCATGGTGGATGGCGCATGGTGCATGGCGCATGGTGCATGGCGCATGGCGCATGGTGGATGGTGCATGGCGCATGGCGCATGGTGGATGGCGCATGGTGCATGGCGCATGGTGCATGGTGGATGGTGCATGGTGCATGGCGCATGGTGGATGGTGCATGGTGCATGGTGCATGGTGGATGGTGCATGGTGCATGGCGCATGGTGCATGGTGCATGGCGCATGGCGCATGGTGCATGGCGCATGGTGCATGGCGCATGGTGGATGGCGCATGGTGCATGGCGCATGGTGCATGGCGCATGGTGGATGGTGCATGGCGCATGGCGCATGGCGCATGGTGCATGGCGCATGGTGGATGGCGCATGGTGCATGGCGCATGGTGCATGGCGCATGGCGCATGGTGGATGGTGCATGGCGCATGGCGCATGGTGGATGGCGCATGGTGCATGGCGCATGGTGCATGGTGGATGGTGCATGGTGCATGGCCCATGGTGGATGGTGCATGGTGCATGGCGCATGGTGGATGGTGCATGGTGCATGGCGCATGGTGCATGGTGCATGGCGCATGGCGCATGGTGCATGGCGCATGGTGCATGGCGCATGGTGCATGGCGCATGGCGCATGGTGGATGGTGCATGGCGCATGGCGCATGGCGCATGGTGGATGGTGCATGGCGCATGGTGCATGGCGCATGGTGGATGGTGGATGGTGCATGGCGCATGGTGGATGGTGCATGGCGCATGGTGGATGGTGCATGGCGCATGGTGGATGGCGCATGGTGCATGGCGCATGGTGCATGGCGCATGGCGCATGGTGGATGGTGCATGGCGCATGGCGCATGGCGCATGGTGCATGGCGCATGGTGGATGGCGCATGGTGCATGGCGCATGGCGCATGGTGGATGGTGCATGGCGCATGGCGCATGGCGCATGGTGCATGGTGGATGGCGCATGGTGCATGGTGCATGGTGCATGGCGCATGGTGCATGGTGCATGGCGCATGGTGCATGGCGCATGGTGCATGGCGCATGGTGGATGGCGCATGGTGCATGGCGCATGGTGCATGGCGCATGGCGCATGGTGGATGATGCATGGCGCATGGCGCATGGCGCATGGTGGATGGTGCATGGCGCATGGTGGATGGTGCATGGCGCATGGCGCATGGTGGATGGTGCATGGCGCATGGCGCATGGCGCATGGTGGATGGTGCATGGCGCTGGTGGATGGTGCATGGCGCATGGTGGATGGTGCATGGCGCATGGTGGATGGCGCATGGTGCATGGCGCATGGTGCATGGCGCATGGCGCATGGTGGATGGTGCATGGCGCATGGCGCATGGCGCATGGTGCATGGCGCATGGTGGATGGCGCATGGTGCATGGCGCATGGCGCATGGTGGATGGTGCATGGCGCATGGTGCATGGCAGATGGTGCATGGCGCATGGTGCATGGTGCATGGCGCATGGCGCATGGTGCATGGCGCATGGTGCATGGCGCATGGTGGATGGCGCATGGTGCATGGCGCATGGTGCATGGCGCATGGCGCATGGTGGATGGTGCATGGCGCATGGCGCATGGCGCATGGCGGATGGTGCATGGCGCATGGTGCATGGCGCATGGTGGATGGTGCATGGCGCATGGTGCATGGCGCATGGTGCATGGCGCATGGTGGATGGCGCATGGTGCATGGCGCATGGCGCATGGTGGATGGTGCATGGCGCATGGCGCATGGCGCATGGCGCATGGTGCATGGCGCATGGTGGATGGCGCATAGTGCATGGCGCATGGTGCATGGCGCATGGCGCATGGTGGATGGTGCATGGCGCATGGCGCATGGCGCATGGTGGATGGCGCATGGTGCATGGCGCATGGTGCATGGCGCATGGCGCATGGTGGATGGTGCATGGCGCATGGCGCATGGCGCATGGTGGATGGTGCATGGCGCATGGTGCATGGCGCATGGTGGATGGTGCATGGCGCATGGTGGATGGTGCATGGCGCATGGTGGATGGTGCATGGCACATGGTGCATGGCGCATGGTGCATGGTGGATGGTGGCTGGTGCATGGAGGATGGCACATCACAACCGGTAGATGATACATGGCAAACGGTGCATGCCACATGCTGTAAGAACATGAGAAAACCCTCAACTTTCTGCATAGCAGCAGCAGTGTGTGTGTGTGTGTGTGTGTGTGTGTGTGTGTGTGTGTGTGTGTGTGTGTGTGTGTGTGTGTGTGTGTGTGTGTGTGTGCCCATTACCTTGAAGGAGTAACCTTGATCAATGAGGAATTGTTGCCTCTTGGACGAGTAATACATCTCCTGCTCATACAAGCACACACATACACACACACACATACACGCACGCACAAGCCCACAAACACGCACGTACAAGCACACACAAACACATAAAAGCACTTTGATGAGTAAACATGCGAAGCCATATCCTGAAGGTAACAGGTGACAAGATAACCTCTCGACGACCAAAACACCACACATTTGTTGAAACCGCCTGAAGAATCACCTGCATGTCACTTGACAGAGGCGAGTAGAAGAACGTGTTGCTGTGCTCTCCATGCCAACCCCCATGCGGTCCTCCTTCCTCAACTCCGGGCCCTGTTGAAACCACCTGGAAAATCACCTGAGTGTCGGTCGAGACCAGCGAGTAGAAGAATGCATTGTAGTGCTCCGTGCCGCCCGCCATCCGGTCCTCCTTCCGCCCCTTGGCCCTCAGAATGCGCCCCAGCCGCTGCGCCTCCTGCCTCCTTGACCCCGCGTGGGATGAGATCTGGATGATCACGTTGGCCTCTGGAATGTCAATCGAGTTGTCCCCCACCTTTGGTGGAATGGGAGGGAGGAGGGGAGGAGTGGATCAGTGAAGAGTGGCGCAGGGGGAAACAGAGGGAAATGCCACATAGAGACGATGAAAGCCGCCCCAACTGCTGTGGCTCCTGCCTCCTTGACCCCCCGTGGGATGAGATCTGGATGATCACGTTCGCCTCTGGAATGTCGATAGAGTTGTCGCCCACCTATGGTTGGGATGGGATGGGATGGGACGGTGAAAAAGAGTGGTGGGTTGGGATGGGAGGGGATGGGATGGGAAGGAGACGGCGAGCGGAACAGAAACGTGAAGAGGCGAGGGGGGGATGGAAGCATTGTCATCTGGATACACAGGCTCCCAACCCAAGGGGGTGCTTTGTGTTGGAATAGCAGAGGCACGCGTACAAGGAAGGGAAGCACCTCAGAGAGAAAGACGGTGTTGACATTGGGGCTGTTCTTGAAGGCATAGAGCATCGCAAGAGGAGACGCACGTCAGGGGGTTGGTTTCTGTGGGAATAATTGAGAAGGCATGTGTACAGGGAAGGAAGGAGGTACCTTGGAGAGGAAAACCGTGTTGACGTTGGGGCTGTTCTTGAAGGCATAGAGCACTCGGGTGCGATTTGTGTGGATGAAGCTGAGTGAGTGAGGGTCACAGCAGGTTGTGCATGGACGGTACTCCAAGCTACAGCATGGAAACAAAGGGCGGTACCTTGGAGAGGAAGACGGTGTTGACGTTGGGGCTGTTCTTGAAGGCATAGAGCACTCGAGTGCGCTCTGCATGGCTGGAGGGGAAGAAGGGAGAAGGAAAGGAGGGGTTTGTGAATTGACTCAACAGCAGTCGTTTCTTGAAAGCATAGAGCAACTAGGTTGTCTCAAACGAAACGGCAGCCCTAATAGCAGTATTTGAAGCGCGTCACTTTGAGGCGCCTCAAAATGCGCCTCACCAGCCACACACATACTTGGTGGGGCCATAAAGCATGGGCTTGTTCAGCTTCCTGGCATACTGCTCCAAGGCAAACTATATTTGTATGACTTTTGAGAATTCTCAAAAGTCATACAAACATACTGCTCCAAGGCAAACAGGTTGTCCGAAAACACGATGATGTATGCGCCTTGTGAGTCACGACCCACCTGGCAAGTATGTTGTTTTTCAAGCACAGGCTTCACCTGGTAGGCCCGTGCATCACCTGGTAGGCCCGTGCATCACCTGGTGGGCCCGTGCATCACCTGGTAGGGCCGTAGATCATGGGCTTGTTGAGCTTCCGCGCATACTGCTCCAGAGCAAACAGGTTGTCCGAAAACACAATGATCTTGTCTCGCCTCTGCTCCTCGTGAAAACGAATCAGGTACTCGCATGCTCGGAACTTGTTGGGGTTCATCACGTACAAACCCTGGGGTGTGGGTGGCAGGTAAGAGGAGGGGGAACGTGGCTTGAGGGATTACTGTCCTGCCCCCCTCTGCTCCTCGTGGAAGCGGATCAGGTACTCGCACGCGCGGAACTTGTTGGGGTTCATCACGTACAGGCCCTGTAGGCCAGGAGGATGAGGGGGGATATGGCGCAAGGCGGCTTGTTTCTGGCGTAAGGTGTGATGCCAGAGGCAGACAGCGTGAATCGAAAGTGAGTGGGGAAATTTTTCAAGACCATGTTAGTAATTGGCAGTTCTAAGAAATCAACCAAATACCATCAAGAGAGGGGCATGCTACTTGCACTGCACTTGGTTCAGGCATGAGGCACGAGCGTGGCAGACAGAGTGTGAGTGAGCACACGTGTGACGGGGCGATCGGTTAGAAACCAGACAGAGTGTGATTGAGCAGTTGACCTCTGTGTGTTACCAAACCTCGAAACTCCAGACTGCCAGGTAACATTGCACCCTTGAAGGCCATCATGATCCAATCACCTGTCTTTTTCTTGCGTCTGCTTGGATGTACTCTGCATAGAACAAGCGGGTCATGGGACACCACACCTGGTGTGATGATGTTCCACCCACCCATGCATGCATGCACACATGCAGCCCATGTCACCTCACCTGGCGCTTTCTTGCATCGGCTCGGATGTACTCTGCATAGAACTCGCGAGTCATGGGGCACCACACCTGGCGTGAATAGGGATGCATACACCCGCAATGCACACATGCAGGCACACAGGCGAACACATGTGCACACATATAGATGCACATGCACGCACATGAATGCACATACAAACAGGAGCGCGCATCGTCAAAAACACGCACACAAGAGAAACACAGACACATTCAAGGCGCACAAGAGAAAACACAGACACAGGAACGATGTATACGGCTGATCACCGAACCAACCATCAGCCGCTGCTCTGGCCAATGCCTTCGGACAAGCCGCACAGATCGCTTCCTTTCTTGGTGCCGTTTCGAGGAGTTTCAACCGCCCTCCCCCCCCCCAAACAGTCACAACAACCCAGTCACAATGTGACAGCCCTTCCGTACGATTCAACCCTCAACGTAGTCACACGAAAGGCTGATGCAGGAGACGACTTTTGAGGCGCCTCAAAAGGCTGATGCAGGAGCATGTTGGTGTATCACCTGGTACGATTCTGAACTCAACTCCGAAATCCACCCACCCCACCCAACCCCCATTGTTATCACATCATATCCAACGTCTCACTTCAACGCATCACCACACCCCCTACTCACCTCCATGCATTGCACGTTGGCGGTGTACCCCCCTCGCACCAGGTCCAGCCAGTTGGCCTCGAACAGTGTCTGTATCCGCAGTCCCTCTCTGCATCATCCGCACACTCTCACCTGCACGCTCATTATTGGCACACCCACTACTAGAGTCTCTCACCTCCACGCATTGCACGTTGGCAATGAACCCCCCTCGCACCAGGTCCAGCCAGTTTGCTTCATACAGCTTGGGACCGATCAGGAAGTTGAGGTCCGCAATTAGCTCGTCCTCTCTCACGAGAGTGGCTGTGAAGTGAGGTGGCGGGAGGAAGAAGAGGGAGGGGAGGAGGAGTGGGTAAGTCCAGTTGGCCTTATACAGCTTGGGACCGATCAGGAAGTTGAGGTCTGCTATCAGCTCGTCCTCTCTCACCAGTGTGGCTGGAGAGGTGAGGGGAAGCGGAGAGGGGAAGCGGGGAGGGGAAGCGGGGAGGGGAGGGGAGGGGAGGGGAGGGGAGGGGAGGGGAGGGGAGGGGAGGGGAGGGGAGGGGAGGGGAGGGGAGGGGAGGGGAGGAGGTGAGTCCAGCTTGCTTTGTACAGCTTGGGACCAATCAGGAAGTTGAGATCCGCGATTAGCTCATCCTCTTGCACCAGAGTGGCTGGGGAAAGAGGGGGACAAAGGGAAGGGGAGGGGGCAAGGGGAGGGGAGGGGAGGGGAAAGGAAAGGCAAGGCTAAGACGTGAGTCTAGTTTGCTTCGTACAGCTTGGGTTGGGACCAATCAGGAAGTTGAGGTCCGCAATCAACTCGTCCTCTCGCACCAGAGAGGCTGGAGAGAGGCGGAGAGGCGGAGGGGAAGGATGTACGAGTGGATGAAAGTTGAGGCTGCGAAATGTTGACACGTGTAAAAAAAAATACTTTTTAGACGTCTCAAAAGGATGTAGGAGTGGATGAAAGTTGAGGCTGCAAAATGTCGAGATAAATGTGGAGAGGAGATTGAGGTGGAGAGATATAAAGAGAAATAAATGGCGAGGTTGCCGCGGAGATTGAGGTGTGATTGCAATGGCAGTGCGACTTGGTGATGACAATGAGCCACAATGCTTCCTTGCCTGGTTTGACCTGCGTTGACTAACCTGTTGACCTGCGTTGACTAACCTGTTGACCTGCGTTGACTCACCTGTCAATCCCAGCTTGCAGTGCGACTTGGTGATGCCAATGACCTTCCGGAACATCTGAGCTGGCACCACGTGCACCTGACACGTCAGCATGGGGGGCATATGCATAGAAAACACATGTCAAAGACAGAGAGCGATACACGGAAGCAACCGCCTTGCAACCACAATGGAGATTTGTCGACACACATTGGCGATAAGCACGAAACGAGACGAGAGGCATGCCACACCAACCCTCCAACTATGTGTCAATAATTCATTCTATCATACTGCTGCTAACTAGCCAACCCCCTCTTTCTACACTCCACCCAAGTATATCCCACTCAACCGCACTGCACCTCGTCCATGAGCAGCAAGCCCCACTCGCGCGATCGGATGGCTTCAATGATTTTATTCGATTCTGCCGACCGCTTCCCTCCGAACGCAATCATGTTGAACGTGGTTACCACAATACCTGCATCGCCCTGTATGCAAAGGGAGGGAAGCGAGTGAGTGAAAGGGTGAGTGAGAGAATGGGATATTAGTCAAGGGACAAATCTTGAATTGCATGCACCACTAATCCACCCACAATGCAACGCAACTCACTTGGAACATACTGGCAGTATGGCACCCCTATGTTAATCACCTGGAACGTCTCCTTGGTATCATACGTGAATCTCGAGATATGCTGGTCTTTAATCGTGGAACACATCTTGAACTGCAGTCTGCAGGCACCACTGATCCACTGATACTGCGTGTGGCGCCTCAGAAACACACCCATGCTGGAGTGTAACTCACCTGGAACATCTCCTTGGTATCAGAGGTGAATCTTGAGATATGTTGATCCTTGATCGTCGACCACATTTTGAACTGCAGGCACCACTGATCCACCGACACTGCATTGGTCGCCAGGCACAGGCAGCTCTTTCGAATGCGCACCGCTGCTGACACTCCCACCAAGGACTTTCCTGCACCGCAGGGCAGCACTATTATGCCTGAACGCGCTCGACCTGAGACACAAAGGGAGGGAGGGAGAAAGGGAGAGGAGAAGCAGAGAAGAATGAACGGGACGAGAGTTCTGTGAGTAGGCACTGCATTGGTCGCCAGGCACAGGCAGCTCTTCCTGATTCGCACCACTGCTGACACTCCCACCAGGGACTTGCCTGCTACGCACGGCAACACTATGATGCCTGAACGCGCTCGACCTGAGACAAGAAGGGGAAAACAAATGATAGGAAGGAGCATGGTGAGTTGGGAGCGTTGCCTACGGCCACTGCATTGGTCGCCAGGCACAGGCAGCTCTTTCTGATGCGCACCGCTGCTGACACCCCCACCAGGGACTTGCCTGCTACGCACGGCAACACTATGATGCCTGAACGCGCTCGACCTGAGACAAGAAGGGGAAAACAAATGATAGGAAGGAGCATGGTGAGTTGGGAGCGTTGCCTACGGCCACTGCATTGGTCGCCAGGCACAGGCAGCTCTTTCTGATGCGCACCGCTGCTGACACTCCCACCAGGGACTTGCCTGCTACGCACGGCAACACTATGATGCCTGAACGCGCTCGACCTGAGACAAGAAGGGGAAAACAAATGATAGGAAGGAGCATGGTGAGTTGGGAGCGTTGCCTACGGCCACTGCATTGGTCGCCAGGCACAGGCAGCTCTTTCTGATTCGCACCACTGCTGACACTCCCACCAGGGACTTGCCTGCTACGCACGGCAACACTATGATGCCTGAACGCGCTCGACCTGAGACAAGAAGGGGAAAACAAATGATAGGAAGGAGCATGGTGAGTTGGGAGCGTTGCCTACGGCCACTGCATTGGTCGCCAGGCACAGGCAGCTCTTTCTGATTCGCACCACTGCTGACACTCCCACCAGGGACTTGCCTGCTACGCACGGCAACACTATGATGCCTGAACGCGCTCGACCTGAGACAAGAAGGGGAAAACAAATGATAGGAAGGAGCATGGTGAGTTGGGAGCGTTGCCTACGGCCACTGCATTGGTCGCCAGGCACAGGCAGCTCTTTCTGATGCGCACCACTGCTGACACCCCCACCAGGGACTTGCCTGCTACGCACGGCAACACTATGATGCCTGAACGCGCTCGACCTGAGACAAGAAGGGGAAAACAAATGATAGGAAGGAGCATGGTGAGTTGGGAGCGTTGCCTACGGCCACTGCATTGGTCGCCAGGCACAGGCAGCTCTTTCTGATGCGCACCGCTGCTGACACTCCCACCAGGGACTTGCCTGCTACGCACGGCAACACTATGATGCCTGAACGCGCTCGACCTGAGACAAGAAGGGGAAAACAAATGATAGGAAGGAGCATGGTGAGTTGGGAGCGTTGCCTACGGCCACTGCATTGGTCGCCAGGCACAGGCAGCTCTTTCTGATGCGCACCGCTGCTGACACTCCCACCAGGGATTTGCCTGCACCGCACAGCAACACAACGATGCCTGAGCGCGCTCAACCTGGGGCACAAAGGGAGGGAAAGAGGGAGAGGAGAAGCAGAGAAGAGAAGAATGAATGAGATGAGGGTTCTGTCAGTGGGCACTGACGATGGCAACAGAGAAAAGGCAGCTCTTGCGAATGAGCATGGCCGCTGACACGCCCACCCACCACAAGGGACGTACATGCACCGCAAGGCATGTGGAAAAGGGTGGGGGAGGCAGACTAAGCGTTTCTGTTACACCACCGTCACCGTCAGCGTTTCTGTTACATCCCCATCACCGTCAGAGTTTCTGGTTGGCAAAAAAAAAAAAAAAAAAAAAACCATATCTCATCTCACCGTTGCCAAACATCTTGCTGAGGCTCTTCTCTTGGTACGGCCGAAGCTGCGCATGTGGCTTTAACTCCACGTCCACGTCAGGATTCACCTGCATGCATGCGTACATGGATGAGTGCAACATTTAGCAACAGGTCAAGTGGCTATGTAGCAACTCCTGGTACGGCCGCAGCTGAGCATGTGGATTCAACTCCACATCCACGTCTGGATTCACCTACAGGACATGAGTGCATGGATGAGTGCATACAAGGGTGCAACACTTGAAAACTGGGCAACTGAGCATGTGGCTCTTGATACGGCCGCAGCTGAGCATGTGGATTCAACTCCACATCCACGTCTGGATTCACCTACAGGACATGAGTGGGTGGATGCACGTGTGCATGAGTGCACGTATCAGTGCATGTATGAGTGTATGTACACGTGTGCAACAGCGAACACGTGTGTGTGTTTGCGGGCCATGCAAAGTCGTCGTTACATTTCTTACTCATGCACACACGGACGTGCATGGATTGTCCGCAATCGCATGTGTAGATACCAATGCATGTGCGTGTGGGGATGCATGCATGAGTGCACGCCAACGTGCCTGCGAGGGCACCTGAGTGCATGCATAAGTGCACGCTATACATGTGTGCATGTCGTTACTCTCCTCTCGCACATACCGAGTCGTTTCTGAAGTCATATTCCTCCAGCATGGGGTAGTTGAGGGCGTTGGGAAGACACCTCTGCTTCACACACTCCACCTGTGCACCGAAGAAAATTCAAAGTCGAAAGGAGGATAACGTAGAAAAAAAAAAAAAAAAAAAAAAAAAAAAAACAACAACAACAACAATGTAACGAGAATGTTTGTGTACATTCTGTACACCACACAGATAGGCAGATGCAGTGCAGTGCTGAGCATATATCGTGCCTGCACACTTGCCTGCACTCCCGTGGAGCGTGAATGGTAGATAGATGCACGCAGCACAAAGCTCGATCCATCAATCCCCCATTCTCAATGCATCAGCCTCACAATTGTTTCCTCCAACAAGAAACTTGAGCGAAAGATATCCAACGTTGAAGATCTCAACAAAACATCGCATTCTCATCCATCCACCACCCACCCCCATCCACCACCCATCCCCATCCACCACCCATCCCACTCCACCCCGGCCGCATAAAGGCAGGCGTGCGCGCAAAAAGAAGCGCAAAGAAGTGAACTTCCCTATCGTCCCCTCCCCTGCCTACCTTAACGAACGGGCAAGAGTTAGCAGGCCCCTGGGAGGGGTCGATCTCAAAGGAGTGGAACTCCCCATCGTACCCTCCCCCACCACCCACACTAAGGGACGGGCGGGGGTTGGCAGACGTATAGCACACCTGGGCCAAGCACCTGACCCAACACACACGCCAACACACCTGAGAGGGGTCGATCTCAAACGAGTGAAACTCCCCATCGTCCGCTGCCCCGCCCACGTCCTCCCCCGCCCCCATGAGCGCATGCGTAAGTGCTGCTGCTGACCCGTCCGCCGCTCCCCCCTGCTGCACTGCAAACGCGTCCCCTGCTGGCCCCTGCTGCAAAGAAACGCGACCGTAGAGGGAGAGAGAAACACATGGGGCGCAGCACATTGAAACACTACCCGACCAGAGACATTCTCCTATCCGCTCCACCCCCATCAGCACCGCCGCTGCTGATGCTGCTGACCCGTCTGCTGCTGCTCCCCCCTGCTGCAATGCAAACACGTGCTGTGCCGGCCCCTGCTGAAGATTGGGGCAATAGCAGCGGTGCCCACACATGCATTCATGGTGGCATAGGACAACCACCATAAACATAATCCGCCCCCATGAATGAATGTGCGGGCACCGCTGCTGTTGCTTCTGCATGCATCTGGTGCGCCCACCTGCTACTCTGCTAAGGCATCGCCGCCCGGACCCTCATCAAGGTGAGTTTTGAGTCGACTCAAAACTCACCTGCTATTGCTGCTGCATGCACCTGGTGCGCCCACCTGCTGCTCTGCAAAGGCATCGCCGCCCGGACCCTCATCAAAGTCAAGCCAGGCCACAGAATGTACCATTGCATTTGCATGGAGGAATGACGCTGAAAATGACATTGAGCATCATAGGACAAGCACTTGGGGGAGGCTAAATGCAGCGGAGACTCGTGAATGGCACACATGGCGTGCGAGCAGGGCACACTATTAGCACACATACAATGCAACCCTATCTATGAGTGCACACACAAACACGATGAAAAGGAATCCCCCCTCCCCACTCCCTCCCATGCATGCACGCACGCACACATGCACACGCACACACACACACACACACACACACACACACACACACACACACACACACCCACACACACACACACACATGCCTGAGCATTAACTGACGGCAAGATTCTGGCTCGGCGAATCACATCGTCTCGCAAGAGCTCTCGAAGCACCTGCAAGAGTAATAAAACCACATAAACACAGCGGGAGCAGAGCACATGAACAGAAAGAGCACATAAGCGGACATGTACATGAATAAGGATGACCGTATGCGCAGGTGGAGTGGAGATGGATGGATGGTTTCTTATTGATGTCATCCTTGCGCATAGGTTTCTTATTGATGTCATCCTTGCGCATAGGTTTCTTATTGATGTCATCCTTGCGCATAGGTTTCTTATTGATGTCATCCTTGCGCATAGGTTTCTTATTGAAGTCCAGTGCAAGTCCGCATCCATCCATCCATATGTGATAAGGATCCACCACTCATGCGCATCATCATGGTAATCGGGATGGGCGGAGAAGCGAGCCCCATGCACGTGATAAGGATCCACCACTCATGCGCATCTGAACGGGCTACACATGTGAGAGCCCCTCTACGGCTGCTGGTGTCAACATATTGGTTTCGAGACATCTCAAAAACAAACATGAAATAACCCCTGCAGGGCCGCAGGTGTGAGTGAGAACCTCTGCAGTGGCTGTGCAGAGCACCAAGCCAAGGCGGCTCTCCATTCTGCTTATGGTGAGAGATAAGTGACAAGGGGCTCCGGGACTCACATTGGGGTTCGGCGATTCAACGAAGTACTTGTTCCGCTGCAGCACCAGCTTCACCTTCCCGTAGTTCTGTGTTGACTCGGTAGCTTGACCTTGCCACGAGACTCTAGGTGTAGGGCCAGTTCTCACATTGGGGTACGGCGATTCCACAAAGTACTTGTTGCGCTGCAGCACCAGCTTCACTTTCCCGTGGTCCTGGTCGAACTCGCTACCTGGACCGCACCTGACCGTCTGGCAACTTACAAGGGCTAAAGGGACTCACATTGGGGTAAGGAGATTCAACAAAGTACTTGTTGCGCTGCAGCACCAGCTTCACTTTGCCGTAGTTCTGAGTGGACTCGCGGATAAAGGTGATGATGTCAGGGGAGAGCTTGGTCTTGGAGAGGCGGTCGAGCACAGAGATGATTGTGTTGGTGTCCAAACCAACTGAGACCGCTGCGTACAGGGAGTGGGGCGTGAGATTGTACTCGTGCACATTCTCTGGACTGGGGAAGAGAGGAGGGAGGGAGGGAGGTACAGTACAGGGTACGATGTCAGTCAGCAGTAGCTGAGAGCTTGGTCTTGGAGAGGCGGTCGAGCACTGAGATGATGGTGTTGGTGTCTAGACCCACTGAGACTGCTGCATAGAGGGAGTGGGGAGTAAGATTGTACTCATGCACGTTCTCGGGACTGTGGAAGTGGGGGGAAAAGTGGGGAGGGGCGGCAGGGAAGGAAAGTACAGCGCATGATGTCAGCAGGGAGCCTGGTGTTGAAGAGAGTTTTTTGAGACGTCTCAAAACACTCCTTCTTTCACGTGATGTCAGCAGGGAGCCTGGTGTTGAAGAGACGGAGGAGCAGTGAGATGATGGTGGAGGTGTCTAGACCCACTGACACTGTGGTCAGCGCAAGGGGGAACCACTGACGCTGCTGCACAAAGAGAATGCAGCGTGAGGTTGTACTCACACACCCCAGAAGTAGGAGAGCGAACACTCACCAGCACACAGGTTTTGCGATGGCGATTAGGAAGTTATAGGCGTGCTTGAAGAGTGGCGAGTAGGTCTCGAGGATGATGCACGCTGAGTGGTAGACAGGCAGCCACACAGTAACATGCACAAACAACACACCCCAGAACTAGGAGAGCGAACACTTACCGGCACACAGGCTCCGCGATGGCGATCAGGAAGTCGTAGGCGTGCTTGTAGAGTGGCGAGTAGGTCTCCGGGATGATGCACGCTGAGTGGTAGACAGGCAGGCACACAGTAACATGCATCAACAACACACCCCAGAACTAGGAGAGCGAACACTTACCGGCACACAGGCTCCGCGATGGCGATCAGGAAGTCGTAGGCGTGCTTGTAGAGTGGCGAGTAGGTCTCCGGGATGATCCCCTGAGTGAGGGATAAACACTGACATGCCCCAAAACTGGAGTGTTTTGAGTCGACTCAAAACACACCTGAGTGAGAAATAGACACTGACATGCCCCAAAACTGGAGTGTTTTGAGTCGACTCAAAACACACCTGAGTGAGAAATAGACACTGACATGCCCCAAAACTGGAGTGTTTTGAGTCGACTCAAAACACACCTGAGTGAGAAATAGACACTGACATGCCCCAAAACTGGAGTGTTTTGAGTCGACTCAAAACACACCTGAGTGAGAAATAGACACTGACATGCCCCAAAACTGGAGTGTTTTGAGTCGACTCTAAACACACCTGAGTGAGAAATAGACACTGACATGCCCCAAAACTGGAGTGTTTTGAGTCGACTCAAAACACACCTGAGTGAGAACTAGACACTGACATGCCCCAAAACTGGAGTGTTTTGAGTCGACTCAAAACACACCTGAGTGAGAAATAGACACTGACATGCCCCAAAACTGGAGTGTTTTGAGTCGACTCAAAACACACCTGAGTGAGAAATAGACACTGACATGCCCCAAAACTGGAGTGTTTTGAGTCGACTCAAAACACACCTGAGTGAGAAATAGACACTGACATGCCCCAAAACTGGAAAAGAAACAGAAGCAGCTTGTGTGTCCTTTTGAGGCGCCTCACTCACCGGCACCTCTGCCTCGGGAAACAGAAGCAGCTTGTGTGTCCCACTCACCGGCAGACTGGCTCGGCAATTGCGATTAGAAAGTCGTAGGCGTGTTTGTAGAGGGGCGAGTAGGTCTCCAGGATGATTCGTCCGTCCGGACACACCCACATGGGTCGCTGCGAGTGGTCCTCCTTCAAATGCATCTTGGAGAAGTCCCGAAGGGCGTGACCCTCGTCAGAGGTCCCTTCTCCTGCCGCTGGTGGTCGTGGCAGGGAGGGCGGGAGGGGGAAGAAGCGTGGTGAAACAGTGAATTTGGCGTGCGTGCATCCCCACGCACACCCACACACCCACGTGGGTCGCTGCGAGTGGTCCTCCTTCAAATGCATCTTGGAGAAGTCCCGAAGGGCGTGACCCTCGTCAGAGGTCCCTTCTCCTGCCGCTGGTGGTCGTGGCAGGGAGGGCGGGAGGGGGAAGAAGCGTGGTGAAACAGTGAATTTGGCATGCGTGCATCCCCACGCACACCCACACACCCACGTGGGTCGCTGCGAGTGGTCCTCCTTCAAATGCATCTTGGAGAAATCGCGCAGGGCGTGGCCCTCCTCGGAGGTCCCTTTTCCTGCCGCTGGTGGTGGCAACAATGGTGTTGAGGGGGGGAAGAAGGATGATACATGGGGAGAATTGACATTCATGCACACCCTTCTACATGCGCACACCCACATCGGCCGCTGCGAGTGGTCACCCTACAGTTGCATCTGAACAAAGTCTGCTTTTGAGTCGACTCAAAAGCAGATCTGAACAAAGTCCCGAAGGGGCGTGGCCCTCCTCCGACGTCCTTTCCCCTGGCGGAAATGAACAAGAATTTAGGTAGGAAGGAAAGATCATGACCCGGAAAGGGAAGGGGGAAAGTGAGGGGTGTTTCTGAAGGAGGAAGGGGGTAGTGTCACGAATCTTGGAAGTTTTCGGCCGTTTAGCAAAGCAGCCATTTTGCAAACGTCGCCACTCCGATTGACCCGGCCGTACGGCTGCTTTGATGCGTCTGCTTCTCTCCATCCGCTCTACCGTCGCCGCTTGGCGCGCTTCACGGCTATCTCATCTCTCACTGTCTCTCACTGCCGACGCAATTCTAGCCGTTAATTTGGTCCTCCCAGCCAGGCTCGTTCCTCACCGCTGATTCGCTGCGCGCGCAGCTCGTCATCCTCGTCGAGAACTAGAAAGTCGTCCTCGTCAACGTCAATGTCAGCACCGCCATCCATCGCTTCCGTCAAACTCCCGTCAAACTTTCGCAGCTTCAGTTACTACTCGCGACCTGTGCTTCCCAAAGCGACCCGGCAAGATGGTGGTATCCAGTAGCCGAATATTGATATCAGAGCACCGAGCGCCGAGCACCGAGCGTCGAGCACTCCGTAAAGTACGCCAAGCGCAAAGAGCGTTGATTCACGAAATTCTGTCAGCAGCTAGAACGGTAATGGCTTGAAAGACAAGCCATTTCCTGTTTTGAGGGTGCTAGGTCCCGTTACTGAAACATGCGTTTCAACCGTGGATAAAGTGCTATATAGTTTGTCAGTTACGACTGTGAGTGTAATATGCTATAGCTATATATTGTGTGTCTCATCCTTCAGTAATAAAATCTACAGAACATTTAATTGAATAAATAATGTTTCTAAGAGTAAATAAACTATGTATTGGTAAATATCGAATGTGACCTCTAGTTATTAAATTAGCACATTTGAGCTTCCGCAAGTCTCGTAAACAATCCGTTTTTAACGTGTATTTCCTGGCTGACCCAACTAGCGGAAGACAAGCCATCAGCCCTAGCCTGCTGGCATTGGCTTGACGGTTTGGAGATCGAAGTTAAAGAGAGAGGAGGTGTTCAAGTAACACACATGCAGGGGTTTTGAGTGTTGAATGTCTGCATACAGTGCAGGCTGCCCTCGAGAATCTGACCCCATGAGTGAGACAAAGCATGACCTGGGTGCATTTATTTCGGACGAATAAACGCGTCCTCAGCTTTTGCACCCCTCTGCCTGTTTTTCTTGACTAGCTCGATTGCATTGCATCCCAGGAGGCGAGGAAAAATGGTCCAGATAGAACCTCGGTAATGACGATCCCATCGCTTTTTCCTCGTACACAACCTCCGTTTCGTACCTGAACGCCTCATCCGTTTGAGCCTCACCATGGCTCGTGTGTCCGGGCTCATCCTCGTTATAGCGTTCTCCACGTCGTTCTTCGCGGCTTTTAATTTCGTGACGATGCTTCTGGACAATTCTCCCGCCGTGGTCCCTCACCGTCGATCCCTCCGTCACCCCCTTAGTGAAATCTCTTCGAATAACGCAAATCAGCTTTCCGTTACGCGTCAGGCCCGCACCGGCAAACCCGACGGACGTAGCTCCACGTCACAGTCAGAATTGCCTGTCATCAGCCGGCCTGCGGACACGGCAAACGGCAAGCGGTCAATCCGGCGAAACGGGCCCCTGCGACCATTCCACGCGGCGATGACGTGCGACAGTTCGGGTTACAGCAAGTGGCAGTCGCGAGTCATGTACTTTTATTACAAGAAATGGCAGCGCGAGCCGGGCGGGGAGGAGATGGGGGGATTTACACGCGTGTTGCACACGGGGAAGGAAGACGAGCTCATGGGGGAAATCCCGACCTTCGTCGTCAACCCGCTGCCGCCGCAGCAACAAACGGTGCCACGGGGTAACGGGGATGGATGCATGGGTGGATGGATTGACTGCGTGGTGAAGCAGATTGTGCAGAGGGGATTATGTGGATTCCTGTGGGGCTGGTGATTGGTTGGAGGGAGAGGGGCAGTGCGGGGGGGGAGGGGGTCAGGGTAGGGGAATGGGGGTGGCACGGAGTCAAGGTGTAATCAAGTGTATTGCTGGTTAAATTCAGGTATTATCCGGGTGTCATTCACATGTAATTCTGGTTCGGGTCTAATCTTCAATTTGCCATCTCCCATCCCTTGCCATCCCTTGCCCATCCCTTGCCCATATCGTTTCCATACCCTGCCCGTTCCTCGCCCATCCCTTGCCCATCTCTTGCCCATCCCTTACATATCCCCTGCCCATCCCTTGCCCATCCCTTTCCCATCCCCTGCCCATCCCTTGCCCATCCCTTGGCCATGTCACATGGCAGGACTATGTGGTTCTGAATCGTCCATACGCGTTCGTGCAGTGGATTCAACAAGCCACTTTTCCTGAAGAGTAAGCTCCACATGCCATCACATACCATAGAATATCGCCATATGCCAGCCATCATTGCGTGTCGCTGCATGCCATCGCATGCCCTAGCATGTCACCGCATGTCACCGCATGTCACCGCATGTCACCGCATGTCACCGCATGTCAACCCATGTCACCACATGTGATCACCTCTCTCCAAAATCGCGCCCCCTGCCCCTTACCCCACTCACCCCTTCCCCCATCTCTTTACCCCTTTCACAGCGATGGATGGATGGCAGAGTCAGACCCTACTATACCATCTCATCTTCATTTCGTACCCACTTGACCTCTTTTTTCTTCACTTCCAGTCTCCCCCTTTATCCTTCCCCCCTCCCTTTCCCCCCCCCCCCTTCCCCCCCCCCCCCTTCCCCCCCCTCACACCTATGTATGGTTGGGCTGGCGAAGCCAACCCATTTGATTCTGCGTCCCATCCCCAACCTCTCAGTGGGTGACAACACGCCCTCCACCTTCCCCTTCCCCTCTCCTCGCACCACGCTCCCGCCTCCTCCATCTCACAACCATGTATGGATGGCAGAACCACCAGACCACCTCATTCTGACTCCACTCAAACCTCCCCTTCCCCTTCCAATGTGCATTCCCCCCCTCCCCCCCCCCCCCTCCCCCCCCACCTCCCCCCCCCCCTCCCCCCCCCCCCCCCTCCCCACACCTTTCACAGCTACGTAAGGATGGCAGAGCCAGACCATTCGATTCTTCGCCCCACTCACAGCTCTCCCCCCTGTTTCCTTGTTCCTTCCCCACCTCTCACACCCACTCACAGCTCTCCCCACCTCTCACACCCACTCACAGCTCTCCCCACCTCTCCACCCCGTCCCTTCGCCCCATGCTTCCCCCCTTTACCCCCCTCACAGCTATGTATGGATGGCAGAGCCAGACCACCTCATTCTGCGCCCCATCCCCAACCTCTCAGTGGGCGACATGCCTTCAGCCTTCCCCTTCCATTACATCGAGCCCGCCAAGAATAAAGGTGAGTGTGAGGGAACAGTAGGGATGTGGAGTGGAAGCATGGATATGCAACATCTTCTTTTCTGTTGGTCACATCTCATGCCCCCTTCCGCCTTCCCCTTCCATTACATTGAGCCGCCAATAATAATGGTGGCCGAGAGGGAACAGTAGGGGTTCGAAAGCATTGATATGCAACAGCTTCTATCATGTTGGTCACATCTCATGCCCCCTTCAACCTTTCCCTTCCATAACATTGAACCTGCCAAGAGTAAAGGTGGGCGTGAGGGAACAGTAGGGGTTTGAATGCATTGGGGCGCAGCAGCAGCTCCTTTCCTGTTAGGGTCACATCTCATGCCCCCTTTCGCCTCTCCCTTTCACTATATTGAACTAGCCAAGAATAAAGGTGGGGCGTGAGGGAGCAGTAGGGGTTTGGAATTTTATGTCAGATTTTGCACTTATATTACAGTATGAACCATACTTGTTACTTTTTCCTTCTCTTCATTCTCTTCCCTTCTTTTTAGTTCTCGTTACAGTCCCATCTCGTTACATGCTAACTCCCGCACAGTCTTCAGCCCCCCGTCCTCAGCCTCACGCCGCACAAATTTCTGCGGGATTCCGCGGTGGGGGGCTGAGGACGGGTGGCTGAGGACTGTGCGGGAGTTAGCATGTAACGAGATGGGACTGTAACGAGAACTAAAAAGAAGGGAAGAGAATTAAGAGAAGGTAAAAGTAATAAGATCGACTTTCTTGCCTCCTGGATAAGGGTCCCATTAGCAAGATCGACGCTCTAGGGCACACATGCACGTTTGGCTGGCCTCACGTGTTGCCTATCCTATCCTGCCCCCACACCTACTGCCACCACCACCACCAGCGGCACTGCACCGGTGGTTCCCTCCGGAAAAGGGCCCCATCAATAAGATCGACCCCATCGGCAACTCCCCTGTCATCATCCACAAGGTACCCTACTCGCCTCTCGCCCCATGCATAGTCCTCTCCCGCCTTGCTGCTTGCCTCACGCATATCGGTAACTTTTGATTGGACTCAGTGCGGCCCCATCAACAAGATCGACCCCATCGGCAACTCCCCCGTTATCATCCACAAGGTAAGGGCTGTTGCAGGCTGTTCGTGAGAATCCTCAAGACCACACTTACACTATCAGGGGCGCTGCAATGCTGGTTCCCTCATGAATCGACCCCATTGCCAACCTGCCATCATCCACAAGGTACCCTTCTCGCCTCTCGCCCCGTCATTATCCTGCTCTGCCTTGTTTCTCTCGTCCGCTCACTGCCAAGACGGGGCACTAGATACGGCTCTTACTTGCAACTTGCAACTTGCAGCTCTCTCCTGTCATCATCCACAAGGCGCCTTGCTTGCTTCTCTCTTTTACTTGCAACTTCTTGTTTTCATTTTCAACAAAGTACCTGCCCTCTCCTCTCCTGGCCTGCCCTGGCCTGCCCTCTTCTGCCCTCTCCTGCCCTCTCCTGCCCTCTTCTGCCCTCTCCCGCCAGTTGCCGCACGCCTCTGTTTCTTAAACACTTTCTCCGTCACCTCGCCCCTCTGTAGCACAAAGTGACTCTCGAGATAGAGGCAGATGCTGCAGCATCAAGGCACATATGCCTCTGTGCTTATGCCCCCTCTCCCTGCCCTCTCTTCTTCCCACAGCACTAGGTTTGGGCCTCGCCCCGCTGTGGCACAAAGTGACCCTCGAGATGAAGGCAGAGCAGCGGCTGACAAGACTGCACGAATGCACATGTGCCCCTCTTCCCCGCTCCTTTCTCTTCTCCCCTTCTCCTTCCCCCCACTTTCTGCGTCGCCTCACCCCGCTGTGGCACAATGTAACTCTTGAGATCAAGGCCGATGCAGTGGCTGGCAAGGCAGCACGCATGAACATATGCCCGTCCTTTCCCCCCCTCGGTTTCTTTTACCCCTCCCCCTCCACAGCACTTGCTGCGTCGCCTCGCCCCGCTGTGGCACAACGTGACTCTCGAGATGAAGTCTGATCCAGTGGCTGACAAGGCGTTCGGATGGGTGCTGGAAATGTGTGTGAGTGGTGTGCAAGTGGTGTGTGTGAGAGTGCATGGGGTGTGTGTGAGAGTGTGTGCATTAGTAGTAACAAGCATGATCCATAGCCTCTCTCACCTCGTTCCTTTGTTCTCTGCAAAATATAAGAAACTCTAGAACTGCTCCCTCTTGCCCTTCGTTTCCCCCTTTCCATCCTTTCGCCTCCACCTGTCCCCTACCCTCCTCCCCTTCGTCACCCCTCCGCTTCCTTTCCCCCTCCCCTCCCCCCTTCCCTTACTCCTACCCCTCTCCTTAATCTCTTCCAGGTACGGTTATGCCACGTCAGCTGCTCTGTTGGGGATACAGCACACTCTACACCGCATGTGGATGATCCAGGTGGTTATTTGCGCGCTTCAGGTGGTTTCACAGATGTATCAGGTGGTTGTTTGCCTCGATCAGGTGGTTCAGGGGGAAGTTGTTTGACTTGACTATTTGCATGGTTATGGTAACGGTGCCGCTGATACGGTGCCTATTTATTGATTGGGATGCATTGAGGTCGTTTTTGTAACCAGAATCTGAGGCGCCTCAAAAACGACCTCAATGGTAACGGTGCCGCTGATATGGTGCCTATTTATTGATTGGGATGCTTCCACTGTTAGTTCTTTCTTCTTTCTTTTGCCTCGTACTCATTCGTTGCGTGGAAAGCCGAGTCAGCCATCCGATACGTTTTTACTTGTCCAAGAATAGGAAGAGATTTGACCGCAGCAAGCCTACGGGTCACAATTTCTCCTTGTTTCACTCCTAAGCTTCACAAATCATTGATTGTGTTGCCATCCTTATTGCCTGCTTGACCTGGGTTTTCCGCTTCCTCCACTTGACCTTGCGTTTCTTTCTCTCCACCCCTTCCTTACATGGTGCATGGTGCGTGCTGCATGGTGCATGGTGCATGGTCGCGGTGTTGGGTGCATGGTGCGTGCTGCATGGTGCATGGTGCATGGTCGCGGTGTTTGGTGCATGGGTGGGCATGCCATATGTTGAATGCTGCAGCCGCCATGGGATACTGAGCCCGGGGACTCCTACCTCATCCACTACACATACGGCTGTGACTTTGCCTTAAATGTTTGTAACTGCACTTGTCACCTCATCCATTATATAACCACTGGTAACTTCTACCTTGAAGCAAGGAGTTTCAAATCCCAAGCTGATCTGCATCTCGACCCTAACCCCGGTTCTGAAACATGGATATCCGTGGAGCAACTGCATCTGGGCAACTTAATAACCACGTTGTAGTTCCAGCATCGTGAATATAACCAAATTGACCCTGATCGTGTTACAATTTCTTTTGTAAAGTTGCAAATCAGTCTCAAATTTCTGCCTGAATGTCAGAGTATGAACTACCCTTTGGTGTGTGAATGTCAATTGTCAATTTCCCAGCTATCCTTTTTCCTTCCTGCTTTACCTCCTCACTCTTCATCCCAGGCAAAAGGTCACCCGAGCGGAGGTGGATACATAATACGTTGACAAACCATATGAAGAAGAAAAATAATCAGACAAACAAACAAACGCAACAGCACCTTTTCCAAACGTCTCATGACATTCTCCTTCCTGTTTTTCCTGCCTATATGTTTCTTGCCTTACATCACAGGGAACAATGACTCCAGGGGTGGTGGGTCCCTGGCACTTTGACAAGAGGGATTTCAACACAGCACCACCTCGCAACCTCTCCCTCCCACCCAAAGGAGCTGCCCCTTCTGTTGTAAGCCTAGCCGTTTGTGCAACCTTCTGGTGTTTTGTGTCAGATTTCTAGGCTCTTATCTTTCTACACTCGACACTCTTGTCTGCACCAATCATGCTCTCCTGTTGCAATGGATCCCTAATTCGCTTCGTAAGCAAGTAGCTCTCTCTTACCACACTTCCTCATCCGTGCGGGTGGAGCTGTCCCTCCACTTCACATTTCAATTATTTCAGTTCAAGCTGGTTTCCATGATAAACGATGCAACATGGAGCATTCCGAATTGGAAGGCTGGAGCTCCCTAGGTGCTGCTGTTCCTGAATGGCTCCAGGGATGGTGGCATTGAACTTATTCAGACATGTGTTGTTCCTCATTTGTTAGCAGCAGACATGAACGGATTCTACACATGCAACATGATCAAGTGTTTACAGTAAAAAAATTTATATACATTGTACACTAGTGGCAATCCAGATTTTCTGGTTTCAGCCACGCTAACTGCTGTTCTATGTGCACTGTCCATTTACCTCTGGTTCCAGCCACAACTGTTACAGCAACAATGAGACTAATCTAAAATTGTCGCACAGCATTGCTCATTCTGCAGAGAGTGACCCGGCTGCTAGAGCCAGTGATTCTTCGTCTGGCCCCAAACCTGCCGATGCCAACGGAGATGCCTGACATTGCCAATGCCTCCCTCTCCTCCTCCTCTTCCTCATCCATAGACAGCTGATTCATGTAGCACATCGTTCCAGTCCCAAGGGTCCTGAAACTTTGCTTGCTACTGCCATCCTCTTCCTCCTCCTCTTCCTCCCCATCATCAGACCCAAACAACTGGTTTGAGACAATCCGTCCTTCCTCCACCTTCCCAAACTCCTTCACATCCGTGCTCCAATCCTTCCCACTGCAGAAAACGCCCTTACCCATCCCACTCTTCACTATTTTTTCCTCAGCTGCCAAGAGCTCAGCGAAATGGTAAGCAGTGGATGGATCGCATCCCTTCCCAATCCTGGAAACGCCTCGGCCAGTCCCCCTCTTCACACCAGCAACCTCCTTCGTCAAGCCAGTGCGGCTGCTGCAGAAGCTATCAGTAGAGGAGGAGGAGGAGGAGGAGGAGGAGGAGGAGGAGGAGGAGGAGGAGGAGGAGGAGGAGGAGGAGGAGGAGGAGGAGGAGGAGGAGGAGGAGGAGGAGGAGGAGGAGGAGGAGGAGGAGGAGGAGGAGTCCGAGAAGAGGTGGATGAGACACGCACTGCGGCTGCTGCAGCTGCTCTCACTGCGACTCAAGCTGCAACACCCGCTGCTCTCCTCTGCTCCCTCCTTCCCACCCTGCTCCACACCCAACCAGGCCGCAACCTTGGCTGAGGAAGCAACAGCCTTAACAGTAGGAGAGGCTACTGAATTCTCTTGAGCAAGGAGCTCCAGGAACGAAGACACTTTCCTTTTTAACGCCAACGGTTTCTTTTCTTCCTCAGCTTCCTCAGCCTGAATTGAAACGGCAACAGTCACAGTTGCAGCGTCCGCCTTGCCAGCCTCAGTGGAATGGTGGATGATTTCTCCATCTGACTCCGTTGACGCAGCTTCTTCCAGAAGAGCGGCAACAGGAAGAGCGACAACAGGGAGAGCGGGAACCGACTGCACCTCCACTGCTGCTTGCTCGCACGACCTGATCCAGCTGGAGACGGCCTGCAGGAGGAAAAAGAGATAGGTTAGCTGCTGTTTACGAGAAGCGTCATGACATAACCAGAAAACAACCGATTTTAAATATGGACAAAACATTGCTCGTAAAGAGGACGAGGGTTTGCGAGAACTGAAGCGAATGGCGTGGAGGAGTGGTTCTTACCAGGCGTGGAGCTGCAACAATGCTGCAGACGAAGCGAGTGAGAGAGTCATTCTGCTCCCAGCAGCTCGAGAACAGAGCATCGACGTCCACGCAGGCACTCTCAGCACCGACGCAGGCCATGTTGCTGACGGACGAATAAGGAAGGAAGGCTAAGGTTTCCGCGACAGAGCTTGTACGCGAGATTATGAGCAATCAAGCAGGCTTACACAGCTGATAGTAACGAGGGAGCAAGGTATAAGAACTTGCAGGTAGCTTCAATCGAGACTGATGAATGAAATGAAAATTCTGAAGGCCTACTTATACTATTTCCGTCTGTTCGGTACAGCGACTCTGATGAGCGTCGCCTGAGAAGCGAGTGGGAGTGAGCGAGCGAGGGAATGCGACGAGAGGCCCGGGAGGTTAAGAGGGTGGCAGAGGGAGTGAGGCAAACAGGGGGGAACCAGCTGATGGTTGCTCTGGGCGAACTTGCAACGCCTGAGGGTGGGCTTGCGATGCGAGTGCTGGCAACAATCGGAGCCCATGGCGACATCGTCGGCTGGCCTTGGGGGTATCGGGGTGTCGCGCGAGCCTCCATTAGCGACGATTCAGAGAACGACACGTGTTGCTTGTGCCAGCAAGGTGGGGTCGACAGGAAGCGCGTACCGCACGAGTATGCGCCGCAACCGGGAGTACCGAGCGGCACAAGAATATATAGAAGGCGGGAAAGAGGTAAGGTTTGTATCCCGACGAAAGTCTCGGCACACGCGGTATGGTTCCCCGAACCTACTTCACAGGCCTAGAGATTTGCGGGATGATGAGCGGTTGGTTCGACTTTATCACCTAGCTTGGACGTCACGTATGGGAGTGAGGTATGGAGGGAGGGGTTCAAGGTGGGAGGGGAGCGATAAAGTTGAGGGTGGTTTGTCGGGCCTGCGGTTTTCTGTGGTTCATTTCGAAGTAAGAGTTCATGCCAATAACATCATAGGTTCCAGTACAGATTTTGCAACTTCTGCAAACACAGCAATTGTGCATATTTAAATTGAATTTATAACAGGAGATGAACGAACATAAATACTGGGGTAAGTTAATACAGCTCATATTCCTCACACCTGTTGGGAACAAATAGTCTTAAGCGCCTCTGTCGTGTCGAAACTCAAGACACAAGCGAAGCAGCTTAAATCGAAGTACCGCGAGTCAACCCTCGGAGGTTAACGTAACCGCTTGTGGTTACGAGAAAGTCAAAGGTCAGCGACCTTTGACCTGACGCAGCGCGACAGCAAGGACACACAACTGACTCGACATTGAGCAGTTGCCCGAGTCGCACCGTATCGAACCGCAACAGTAAAACAGTTACAATTATGTCTCTTCATATTCTCTGTGTTGCGATCAGAAAGTTGATCGTAACCCAGGATCTACTCTGGTAGGTTCGCACGCAGTGGGTAGTGTTGGTGGGCCCTTTGACCTCAATAGCAGAGTGAATGTAAAATGCTTGAGATGATAAAACATGCAGATACAACGATATAAATATGAGTACAAGGGAATTCGAAACGTCCTAACTAGCCATGTACTCTAAGGGGTACATTCCCTTATTCAAATGCATCCCAACCGTTCGGCGCGTACAATTTCGAAACTGTTCCCGCCAAAACCATTCTCCTTGCAGTTGTCCGATGCCGTTTGCTTCCGACGGTTCAGATGTGTCAGATGATTATATATTGCTGATGCATATATGTAGGCTGTAGTGGGGTAGTCCATAGAGGGTACAACCCAATTAGGGTTGGTACTTGTACTTGTTTCATTTCATAGTGCCATCATTCCTCGCCTCTATCTCAACAAGATGTGCTGTAACCGTCCGACTCTTTGACTCAATTCCAACCGTCTGACGCTTGCGTTCGTTCCCGATATTGTGCGTGCCTTGCTACGGTGACGAGTGCTTAGTAATATCGAATATTGTCAAATGATATATATGTGTTATATATATAGGTAGGCTGCAGTGGGGTAGATGTTATAGAGGATAGAACTTTAGGGTTATGCCCCTTGTACCAAACTCTCTCAACCATTGACTCAACCTTGCCTAGCTATCTCATCATGGCATCTAGAGCAGGTTCTTAGGACCTAAGTTTAAGGGCCCACCGGTTACTAAGTTACCTCACCAACGGCCTGCCTGCCTGCCTTGCCTGTCTGTCTGCCTAGCCTGCTGCCCGCGCGCGCCTCGGCTGCGCGCGCACGCCTTTTTTTTTAGCGCGCACTGCTGCTGCCCGCCGTGTCGCGCCCCGTAGGTCGCTCGCGCAGCCCGCCCAGAGCCCGCGCCGCCCGCGCGCGATCCGTTGTTGCCACGCGCAGCCCGCTAAGGCCCCGCGCGGCCCGTCTGCAGCCCGCGCGCAGCGTCCGTCGCTCGCGCGCAGCCCTTTTAGGCCCCGCGAGTCGCGTTTGCTGCCTGTGCGGTCTGCCCCAGCGCTGCGCGCAGCACCTACCGCCCGCGCGCAGCCCACCTAAGCCCTACACGCCGCGCCCGCCGCTCGTGCAGCTCATTGCTGCCCTGTGCATAGCGTCTGCCAGGGTTTAGGGTTTAAGCACAGTTGCCTACTACAGTTGCCTGCTGCCTGAGCCTAGAGCCTTTGCCTGCTACCTGAGTCTTTGCCTGCTGCCTGAGCCTTTGCCTGCTACCTGAGCCTTTGCCTGCTACCTGAGCCTTTGTCTGCTACCTGAGCCTTTGCCTGCTGCCTGAGCCTTTGCCTGCGCTGCAACCATGGCAACCCTTACAGCTCTCGCCTTTGAGCCTGACGGCCGCCCCATCGAGTTTGACACCTGGCTTAGTGATCTGCGGCTTTACCTTATGACTGACGTCGCAGACGGAGTATCACTGCTCGCCTATGTGACTGGCACTGTCCCTACTCCCGCTGAGAATGCTCCTGCCCCTGATAGAGCACAGTGGGAGCTCCGCGATGCAGTAGCCCGCCTTGTTATTCGCAATCACCTACCGATCTCTGAGCGCGCGCATTTCAACCAGCTTAAGACTGCTAAGACGCTGTATGATGCTGTCGTTGCCCGCTATTCCGCCCCGGCCACAGCCACCGTTGGTAGTCTCATCCTGCCCTACCTGTTCCCAGACTTAGCCTCGTTTCACACTGCTGCCGACCTTATCACTCACCTCCGCGCTAGTGACGCCCGCTTTCCAGCCGCTCTTACAGACGAGTTCCTCGCCAAGAACACCCCTCCTCTGTACTTTACCCTCTACATCCTCGTGACCCGCCTCCCTGATAGTCTTCGCTCTGTCAGGGATCATTTCCTTGCCAAGGATCCTCCAACTATCACTCTGGACGACTTCGAGCAGCAGCTGGTCGCAGCAGAGAAGAACATCCTCGCTGTCGGTGCTGCTCGTGGCACTCCCCGCACTCCCCTCTTTGAGGGGTGCTCCCCCTCCCCTCTTGACCCCTCCTACGCCTCTGCTGCTACTGCTGTCGACTCCCTCGGTGCGGAGAAGGTCGCAGCGGCTTCCGCTCCTTGTGGGAAGCGTGGTGGTGGCAGGGGTGGCAAGGGTGGCCGGGGTGGCGGAGGTAGCGGTGGAGGGAGCGGTGGTGGAGGCGGCGGGGGTGGTGGAGGTGGTGGGGGTGGACGTGGGGGTGGAGGCGGTGGTTGGGGTGGCGGCAGGGGCGGTGGGGGCGGCAGCGGCGGTGGTGGGGGAGGAGGCAGCGGCATTGGCGGTGGAGGTGGGAGTGGGGGTGGATCCGGACAGAAGGGTGGCCAGCAGCAGGAGCAGCAGCAGCAGCTTCCTCCCCTCACCTCCCAGCAGCTCAATGACTGGTATGCTGGGCGTGGGGCGTCTCGGGGTTCTGACCGCTGCCCCTATGTCATTCGTACTGGCCCCCGCAAGGGTCGCCCCTGCAACGGTTTTCACACTGAGTACCGCTGTTTCGCTAGGCTTAGTGACGCCTGGCGCGCCAAGTATCCTGATGCTGTTGAGTTTCCCAACTGGGCAGAGCTGCTTAGGCGTGATGTGCCTATCTTTGATCTGGACTATAATGTTATTCTTGCTGCCATGTATGCATTGACTGTTAGTGCTGAGGGTGACTGCTACTTGTGTGTGCCGCCTGACCCTGGCATTGACCCCGGTATAAGGGCTGCAGCCCTAGGTGCTAGTGAGTCTGCTCCCCTTGGTACTGCGTCCGCTCAGGCCTTGCACACGTTTACACTTGACTCTGGTGCTTCCCGCTGTTTCTTTCGCGATAGCACCACCGTCATTCCCCTCCCTGCACCTGTCCCTGTTTCACTGACCGACCCCTCAGGGGGCCCAGTACTTGCACGGTCCACTACTGTGCTTCCCTGTCCGGCGGTCCCGTCTGGTGAGCTGTCAGGTCTCCATGTTCCCTCGTTCTCCACCAACCTGGTGAGCAACGCCGTCCTTCAGGATCACTGGGTTGACACCTGGACTCCTGGAGGGCAGCGTGTGGCGATCTGCACGTGCTCCAAGACTGGCCGCCACCTGGCCACGTTCACTCGTGAGCCGGGGTCCAGTCTGTACACCCTCACCACTGTTTCACGCTACACTCCTTTGTCTCCTCAGCTGTACGCGTCTGCTCAGGTAGCTACCC